ACACAAACGTACACACACATACACACACACATACACACACATACACACATACACATACACACACATACACACAAGCATATATACAAACACACATACACACACATATACACACACATACCACATATAGATACATACACCTGTACACACATACACACAGATACACACATACACACACAAACATACAGACACATAAACACATACACACATATACACATATACACACACATTCACACACAGGTACAAACACACACTATAGTTTTTTTGTTTTTGTTTTTTCAGAAAAATAAAGCCTGTGAAAAGTAATGATGAGGATCCTGCTATTCAAACCAGGTGATTTTCTGGAGGTGCAGAGAACTTCTCTATAATGATGAGACCCAGTACTGAGCTGGTAACACCCTGCAATGTATGGTAAAGTTTCCAAAATACAACTCTTTTTTTTTTTGATATAGGGTCTCATGTAGCCAAGACTGGCCTTGAACCCCTGATCCTCAAGCCTCTACCTTCCAAGTGCTGGGATCATAGGCATGCACCACCACACCTGGATGCATTTATTCTTCAAGCAGGAAATCCTGACTTCCTTAGCCATTTGGACTCAGGGTTGTGTCATTATTTCTCTACTCAGGTTGTTCTCATTATTTCTCTACTTTATCAAACATAAAAGACAAACACAGATTAGTGTGTCATCATGATTACACAGGTCAAATATCACATCTGTCTGTTAATCTAATGTTCTGAGAGGTTGCCACAGATAAGTTCCTTGTCCCTTCACTAAGTGATTTCTTAAGGTGGATTGTGGTGTCCTCACTCTCTCAAAAAGTCTTTAGTTCCATTGACTCTCTTGCTGTCTCTAATCTTCTTAGATCAAAAACCCATTTTAGTCACTGAGCTTCTGAAATCAATTTGCTTCCTTTAGAAGACACTGAGAGAGATCTCATGATGCTTTTTGAAGGAAAGATTTTTTTTTCAACGTGACTTATAGTGAAAAATGTAAGCTTGGAGAAGCTTTCCTGTCTCTTATCTTTTCCTATGATGTAACTGTACCATCCCCCAAGAACCGCTAAGAAAAATCCAGCCCAGCTACCCTGGGCAAGGGCCGTGCATGTCCAGCATGGGCAGCCCTGGATATACTCACAAGGGAGATGTCTTCACATAGCTAATGTTGCCGCTGCCCTCAGGGCACTCAGGGTTGACACACTGGAAGCCTCCTCCAGTGTTGATGCACATGGTCCCTCGGGGACACACTTGCTGAGGGCCCACACACTCATCTACATCTGAAATTCAGGACACACAACCACAAATGGTGTAAAACTTTCTGCATTTCCCCAACACAAAAAGAACAACATGAAAACCTCCAATAGAAACTGGAATTGGAGATGCCATGTGAGGTGAACTTTACTAATACTCAACACTTTGTATGTGCATATTGTGTGCGGGTGTGCATGTATGTGTACATGCATGTGTGTATGTGGAGCGAGAGGTTGACATTTCATTGTCTTCCTCATTTGCTTCTCTACCTTATTTTTTGAGACGCGTTTCTACTAAATTTGGAACTCATTGATTCTGCTACGATGGCTGGTCAGTGAGCTCCAGGAATCTGAAATGGGGGGTCCTGTCTTAAAGCCAGAATCCTGTTAGGAACTCTGTTTTCTTTGACTACCTGGAATCAGGGCCCTATGTAAGTTCTGCAGGACTGTGCTGTAGAATACCCCATCCCTTCTTCACCTGGGATATGACAGGTCTTTCCTGCCATTACCAAATGAGTGTTACCAGTCACTTGCCTTCTTCTCAACTCAAGTGCCCTTTGAGTCTCCCTCCTGTCCACAGCTGTTTTCACACTCAAGAGTCAAACCTTTAGGAAAGCCTTCCACTTCAACCTCATCCCACACTGAAAGCAGATATCTCTACTCTGTCATTTTTAAAAATTCTCTGGGCTCTTTACAAACATCCAATGAATCCATCCATCTGGAGGCTATCTCTTCCCAAGCTTAAGCAATGCTATGTGGGCACTCATGAGTTCTATGAGGTGGGTGATTGGTGGGTGGGTAGATGAATGGGTAGGCAGATGGATAAATGGTTGAGTGAATGGGTGTTTACGTGAATTGATGAGTGAATGGGTGGTTTGGTGGATGGTTGGGTAGATAAGCGGATGGATGGCTGGGTGGATGGGTGGGCAGATGAGTAGGTAAATGGATGGATGGAGGAGTAGATGGGTGGATATGTGGACAGCTATCTAGATGTCTTCTACTCTAGACCCCAGTTGCTCACTTTTGAGCCTTACAGTGGAATCCAACAAGATGCCACCAGGGAACCCCCTCTCCACATTCCCAGGTCAGCCTGTGGCTTAGCCCCCTGTCCTTTCTCTTTCAGTAATCCAGAGCCATTGTCTGGAGACAGATGGGTTCCTCTCAGTGTCCTGAGACCATGGAGGAGTACAGCTGAGGTATTCAGTCCTGGACATCCTTCTAGTGTGAGCCTGTATTAGCAGACACAGTTCTCCCCAAAGGCCCACTGCAGTTCCAAGTGGCAGGGCATAGACTCAGGATGAGCAACGGGAGACTCTACTTGTCTTCTGGCCTGAGTTGTCCCACCTCATACATGGTTTCACTTTCTTTGGTTTCAGTTATCTATGGTCAACTATGATCTGAAAGTACTAAATGAAAAATTCTAGGAATAAACAATTCATAAGTTTTAAATAAATTTTATTACAGTATATTATCATAATAGTCCTATTTTATTACAAGTTGTTAATCTCTTACAGTGCCTAATTTATAAACTAAACTTTATCATAAGCAAGAATTATAAGACAAAAACGTCATATATGTACTGCTTGGTGCTATTCCGGTGGGCTTGGATACTTTCTGTGGATAAGGAGGGGCTGCTGTTTTCTGACTGTGCTAATGTGGAGATTTGGTGTATTTATATTTAGTAATATCTGTATTTGCCTTAAGAGGAGGTGGGGTAACAGGAGGTCTCCTGTTAGTGTGCCCAGCGTCCCCTAGAGTTGTCTGGTGGCCATAATGGGGACTACGGCAAGGGTTCTCAGCCTCTCCTTTCTACTTTCCACCCCCATACAGACGTTCCTTGCTGATTTGGGTACCTGTCTGTACCATGTCTGGAAACATCCTCAAAAACCAAAGCCCAGTTCTCCAGGAGGCTACAATGGATGGGAATCACTGGTGTAAAACTCGGTCCTGTGTTTTTCCCTCACACCCCCCATCCACCCTCTGTTTCTGGAAGGCTTACTGGCCAGGACCATTTGCCCAGCCCTGAGTCCCACTGGCTTCCATCAGGGTCTGGCAAATGGAGGCCCAAGTGGCTGCGGTCTCTATTATCAACTCAGATGTAGTTCTGGTGGTGGCTGCATCCGCTCTGGCCATAACTGTTCAGACCTTGATAACCCCCTCCCTCCATTCCTTCAAACTCAGAACTAGTAACTGTCCCTTACTTTGACCTGTCCTGAAAGACTCTCCCTCCCTGTTGCTCTTAGCAAGCCAGAAAACATGGCCAGCACCGTGGAACCTGACTGTCCTGAGGTATAGTACCTATAAGGTGCTGTTCCTGTCAGAGGGCATTTGGAAGTGTGCACATGGCTGTGAAGCCTTGCAGACCCCAGTCAGTGGTGGCTGACTGGCCATCGGGTTCAGGCCTAGCTAAAGGTGCTACTGAGTAGGCAGAAGTGACCTTTCCCTGAAAAGTCACTCACATAAGATCAGAAGAGACTGGTTGGCTAAGCAACTCATTTCTTATTTGTATAGATTATGTGGCTTGATCTTTGAAAGGCTCTTTTGCTCATTTAAAAAACTTTTATTATTTTTATTTTATGTGTATGAGTGTATCGCCAGAATGAATGTAAGTGCACCTGTGTCATGCAATGCCTGAGGAGGCCAAAAGAGGATGATGGATCCCTTGGAACTGGAGTTACAAACAGTTGTTAGCCATCATGTGGGTGCTGGGAATGGAACTCAGGTCCTCTGCAAGAACAGCCAGTGCTCTTAGCCACTGAGCCATCTCTCCAACCCTGTTCATTTTTTTTTTTTTAAAGATTGGATTTTTAAGTCTTTGACTCTTAGTTTCCTCACTCTTGAATGAAAGGTCAGGAGGGGAGCAGGGGGTCAGAGCAGCGGCACATGATCAGGTGTGGAGGGTGACCTCTAGCCATGCCATCACTTGCCTCTGTTGGGGTCTCACTTACCCTCACAGCTCTTCCCATCAGCCAGCGTCTGGTATCCACTGGGGCAGGTGCAACGATAGGAGCCAGGAGTGTTTACGCAGGCATGCATGCAGAGCCGGGGGCGTCCCTCCTGCCCGTAGATCTCACATTCATTCACATCTGGGACAGAAAAGCCAGATTCCAGGAGCCAAACAGCCTCCATCAACTAGCATCTTTGGCAGCTGTGACTGCATAGCTGGGCTGTACCATACACTATATCCCTAGCAGAACATCCGGGAGCGCCTCTCTTTCCCCAGTCCAGGGTCAAGAAGGATGAAGAGAAGAGTGGAAGAAGCTGATGTGGGAGACCCTAGAAGGGCTGGGGAGTCTTGTGTGGTGATGCAAACCACACAAGGTTTTAAGAGGGTCTTGTAGCTTGTGTGGTGATTCAAACCTATAATCTCAGATTTGGGAGGCTGAAACAGGAGGATATCCAGTTCAGGGCCAGCCTGGTGTGTGTACTGAGACCATCTTTTAAAAATGTGGGTGGGGGACGTATTCTCAATTCGGCTGCCTGCGGCAAGAGCCCATTAGCATTCACTGACCAGATCTCAGGCTGGAACTGCTGGTTTTGTTGTGGTTAGCAAAAGTGGGCTGAGCAGTCAGCTAAGCTGCAAGGAGACCAGGGAGTGAGTCTCAGGCTATGCCTGACTCCATGGCCCCGTCTGCCAGCACAGTGAACTTCCCTGCCACCAGCCCATGGGATTTCTGCCAGCCAGAGGGCTGGGATAACAGGTCTCAGGGCTTCTTTTGGGCACAATTTTGGGCAATGTTGTGACATGGAGGCAAGTCTGGCATCCTCCGGCTCATTTCTCCTTTCCTTATCCCTATGTAGTCAAAGATGACCTTGTACTTCTGATCATCCTGCCTCTGTTTCCCAAGTGTTGGACTTACAGAGGAGTCACTCCTGATTTATGCTGTGATGGGGATCGAACTCAGAGCCTCAGGCATGCTAAGCAGGAACTCTACTGACAGCATATATCTCAATTTCTCACCTGCTTTCTGTTCTGTTTCAGTGAAGGCCTTGGTGCACGGGCCTGGGGACCCAACCCTGGTGTGTGTGTGTGTGTGTGTGTGTGTGTGTGTGTATGTGTGTGTATGTGTAGGGGGGCACAAGGGAGGAGAACCAAGACAGGCATGCTGACACACCTCTTCTTCTGAATACCTCTGAAGTCTAGCTGTTAGTTTCATTCACCCTGGCAATGCTTACCTAAAAGAGGCTTTCAGTGACCACGCCCAGGAAGACCTTCGCCCAGCTTCACGCTCTGTCTGAGGACTCTGGGACCCAGGACTCTGCAGTTGGAGGGCGGAGGATGCCTCCCCCCGACCCCACCCCCGTTCCCCGCCTCCCGTCCCCGAGTCCCCCCCCCGCCCCCTGCGGTCCTGCTGTCCCGTGGAGCCCACGCCTACCCTGGCAGACGCTCTCGCCACCCGCGACGCCGCTCAGGTGGAATCCGGCCTCGCAGCTGCAGTGCTGTGTCCGCTCCACCTGCGCGCAGCGCGGCGCGCGACTGAAGGCAGAGTCGCGGTCCGCTCTGTCCTGCGGGGCCGCTGCAGGGAAAAGACACCCTCAGCGCCCGCCCCGGGGCACCTGCCGTGGGTCCCAAGACGGGTGCGGCCCCTGCTTACAGGGCTTACTCTGGAGCAGGAAAAGAATGGCAGGTGAGGAATCTAAGCCGAGTCATCACTAACCCGGGAAGGACCCATGTGACAGCAGGCGGGTGCACAAGGCCCGCTGCAGGGCGCAGTCCAAGATTTCATTGTGAGAAGTTTGAACCACGCTCCCCCCACTCCCCAAATAGTGACAGCTGGGGTTCAAAATTTTGAGCCTCTATTTTTGTTGTTGTTCCCTGTGTGTGCGTGTGTGTGTGTGTGTGTGTGTGTGTGTCTATGCGCTTGTCTCTTCACAGTTTTTTTAAAATTACATTTTAGGTTTTACCCAAACCAGAAATTAGTTTTCTAACCACAATAAAAATAAGGTGAATGAATTTTTAAAAAATGAATTAAAAGCTAGGCATGGTGGCCCACGCCTTTAATCCCAGCACTTGGGAGGCAGAGGCAGGCAGATCTCTGTGAGTTCAAGGCCAGCCTGGTCTAAAAAGGGGGTTCCAGGAAAGCGGGGAAAAAAGGGGAGCCCTTTCTCAAAAAAACCAAAAAAAAAAAAAAAAAGAATTAAAATAATTTTTGACCATCAAACTATTCTGTATGAAAATAACAAAAATTCAATTAAAATTAATAAAAAATATTTTTTGTAGTTATTCTTAAGGCTGAAGCAGGATTACTTGAGCCCAGTTCAAGACCAGGCTGGACAACAGAGCTAGACAGTAGGGAGTGGAGAGATGGCTCATGGTTAAGAACTGGTACTGCTCTTGCAGAGAACCTGAGTTTGATTCCCAGCACCTTTGTCAGAGAGCTCACAACCACCTCTAATTCCTGTTCTAGGGATTCAGTGCCCCCTTCTGACCTCTAAGGGCACTGCACTCATGTGTGCACACACTCCACAAATATGGACATAATTAAAAATAAAAATCATTGGAGAGCTGGGCATGGTGGCGCATACCTTTAATCCCAACAGTTGGGGAGCAGAGGCAGGGAGCTCTCTGTGAGTTTAAGGCCAGCCTGGTCTACATAGCAAGTTCCAGGCCAACTTGGAAGCTACAGGGAGACCTGTGTCAAAAAAAAAAAAAATCTATGGAGAGAGGCTCTGCAAGGTGCTGAGAGAGGAGCACAGGCAAACTAATGGGAAAGAAGTTCTACGTGAGGAAGAGCCCAGATGTCTACTGGCCATTTTTAGATATAGTAAAGATGTGGCATGGCTTTGTATGTTCCTGTTCACTCCTTCCTCCCCTTCCTGGAGAAGATGCTGGTCATAGACCTGTGACCAAAGTGAGCCCTCAGCCTGAGAAGCAATGCCACAAAGGTCCTCCAGGAGAACCCCTAATAAGGGGCATTTGGTACACAGTGTACAGGGCTGGCACTGATGAAGGGGTGGTCTCTTTTCTGCTCTTGTTTGTAAACACAGGCAGTGGGCTTCCAAGAAAGTCCAGCCTCCCTAGTTGGTTTCAACAAAAGTTACTCAACTGAAACATAGGAGCTATAGGAGACCCTGGGCTTCCCTGGGTGACAGCCTCACTGTGAAAGCATCTGGAAGGCCAGTTGGGGCGCACTATTTAGTAAGTCTATTGGGGTACACTATTTAAACCTGACGGGGAGCTGGGTACTATAGAGGACATTAAGTTGTTTTATTTTGCTTGTGGCAAGGTTTCATGTATCCCAGTCTGGTCTCAAACTTTGCTATGTAGCCAAGGATAGCCTTGGAGATTTGATCCTCCTACACTTATCTCCCAGGTGCTAGAATTATAGGTGCCCAGTTTTATGTGGTGCTAGGGATTGAACCCAGGGCTTGTGCATGCTAGGCAAGCAAGCCTTCTAAAAACTGAGCTACATTCCCCAGCCCTGATATAAACAATTGACAAATGCTTACTCTCTGGACCTTACCCTAACCATTAATGCCCTTTCCCAACTGGGAGTCCATAACCAGGCAGAATATGCCGGGCCTGTCTGACAAAAAATGGACATCTTTGGAGTTAGACTTCTTGGTTGCAGAACAGTGTGAAAACCTCCATTCACCCTTCATGGATTCCTTATCACTAGGCTTTCATGCCATGTGCTGGGACTCACAGATCTAATGCCTAATTATTCACATCTTAAAATACTTTAGGGGCTGGAGAGATGGCTCAGCAGTTAAGAGCACTGACTATTCTTGCAGAGGACTGGGGTCTGATTCCCAGCACCCACATAGCAGCTAACAACCATCTGTAACTCCAGTTCCAGGGGATCTGACACCTTCCTCTGATATCCTCAGGTATTGCACAACATGGATGCACTTACACACATGCAGGCAATACATTCATATACATAAAAATAATGAATAACATATTTTAAAAATATTTTAGACGGCTGACTTTGAAGGGTATGATAGGAATGTTGGAAGGAACAGTGGTTTTGCTAGCAGAAGAAATATTAGCAAAGGTGTCCATGGTGCATCTTCAATCTGGGGGCTCCTAAGTTGGAGTCTATCCTATTCCATCCTTCCATAAGAAAGATCACAACTTGGCTCATACAAAAGAGCTAAGACCACCCAAGTGAGCACTGTAGAGTACTAGAGGGATCAGCCAGTGGAGGGGAAACAGAGAGGAAAAGCTCAAGCCTCTGAGAAGCACTAAGTTCCTGATACATCTATCTGCCTTTGGTGACCATGACCAGGATCCTCACCCAGCCGCATAGTGACTACTACATACCAGCCTGGGCCTGATGCTGACAGCGGTTCCCAGTTCTTTCTGGAGGACAGATGCATCTGTACTGGTTGACCCCTTCCACACATGTTCCACCATAGTGACAAGGCTGACTAGAGCACTGACTAATATCTAGGAAAGAATTTTCAAACACAGTTATGCAAATTCTAAGACAGACAATAGCCCACAATGGATTTTTCTTTTAATTTCAGGACCACTCAGTTTTCTGTTTTATTTATTTATTTTTTTTTTTGAGACAGAGTCTTGTGATAAAGCTGAGACTGGTCTTCTTGCTTGTGGTCTTCCTGCCTGTGCTCCTGGGTGCTGGGACACAGGTGTGTACTACCACACCTGGCCACAACTCCAGCTTTCTACTTCCCCACCTTGTCCTTGTTACCCTCTCTATCTACAGGAACTGTGAGGAGGGCTAAGGGGATGAGAGGCAGCCCATTTCTTCTCTAGTACCTAGCTCATACTGGTTGCAAGAGCTGGTCAAGTATCACCATGCTCCACAAAGAGACTGCTGTATTTGAAGAGTAGTGCACACAGCTGTAGCCAGATGTATGCATCAGGCACACTGCCTGTGAGTGAGGCCTTGTGCTCTTCAACTCTGTCCCCATCAGCCAGCATCTAAGTGGATCTCTCTCTCTCCTCTCTGCCCCCATGGTCTTATGTAGCTCAGGCTGGCCTTGAACTCCCTGTGTAGCAAAGAATGACCTTAACTTCTGATCTTCCTGCCTCCCCTTTCCTGAGTACTAGGATTACAGGTGTGTATCACTATACCCAGTTTTGTCTTTCTGGTTGTGAGCCTGAGCCTTTAACAGCTGTGCCAGCTCTCCAGTCCACTATGCCGAGTTTTATGCAATGCTGGTATGGTGGTTTGCATGAGAACTGTCCCCCACAGGCTCCAAGTATTCAGACACTTGAACCCAGCTGGTGGTCCTGTTTGCAGACCTTTAGGAGTATATGGTCTTGTTAGAGGAAGCACATCACTGGGGGCAGGCTTTGGGAGTTACAGCCTTGCCCCACTTCTAGGTCCTCTTGTGCATGCTTGAAGATGTGAGCACTCAGCTTTCTATTCTGGCAGCCTCTGCTGCTAAGCCTCCCCATCATGATTGACTCATCTCTCTGGAATTGTAAGCCAAATATATTCTTCCTTCTATAAGTTGCCTTAGTCATGATGTTTTATCATAGGTACAAAAAAGTAACTAATACAGCTGGGGATTGAACCTGGGACCTGTGTGCATGATGGTCAAATGCTCTACCAACTGAGCCATATCCCCACCCCTGGATAAGCTTTCAAACAGGAGCTAAATTCTAAAGAATTAGAAATATCAGGATGGCCCATTGAAGTATCCAGGGATAGGGAAAATTAATTTTCCAAGTTTACACTTGGAGCCCTCCTGAGCCATTGAGTAGAGCTCTATTGACATTTCCTTAGTGTTGGTAAAGGGAGTGGTTCCTAGCTTGCCTACAAACATATTATGTGGAAAAATTATATGGAGCGAAGAAAGAGGAGAAAAGAAAGAGGAAGAAGGAGAGACAGAGTTAGTTTTAAAAGCTCAGTGGATTTTCCTAAGCAAGGTAGCTCAGCAGTAGAGCACTTGCCCTGCATGCATGAGGCCCCAGGTTCAATCCCCAGCTTCTGCCCCAAAGAGGCAACCATGGATCTGAGTTTGGCCTTCTCTCTGAGTACTAGGCTTACAGGTGATTTTCCTTTACTCATTAATACTTTTTCTATTTTTCATTTCTTCTATAACAAACGTTTATATCTTACTTAGGAAAATATGATTTTGTAAAACCCTCAGTACTTGTTATGGATTCCTTGGGCTCAGTTTAAGCATTCACACATGCCATTGGTTCACGGACTTTACGGTAGCATCTGGGGAAGGAGACAAGAGCATTTCCTCACTGGCCCAAGAACTCCTTCTTGCTGTGTCCACCAAGAGGAAGAAGCAGGTGGCTCTCTCCTAAGAAGGGCAGCCTGGATCTGGGTGGGTTTTCCCTTGAGACTCCTTGTAACTGTTGGAAGGTTTATGTTTCATTCTGAGAGACCCAGACTGTGCAAATGCTGTTTATCTGCAGGGAAGGACCAATTTCTCTTTCTCCATAATCTCAGGTAGGTCACAAGCATCTCCAGCCATCCATTTTCAGGTGACTGATTTCCAGGAATGTGTCTGAGACCACACCACCATGCCAGTGATGCTCAGTCTTCCCAGGTCTATTGTGGTCTGGCCCTACCTTTGTCCTACTGGCCCCTCTGAAAGTGGGCAGCCAGTTGGCCATGAAGCTGTGGAAGAAAGCCAGAATGTGTGAACACTGATACCCTTTGGCTTTGCCTCAGGGGGCCCAGGGCCATTGTATGTCCTTGGGGCAACTCCAGCTGAAGACAGAGAGCTGGGCCTGCACCTGGACGCTGTGGGAGGGACTGGGGTGTCCCATCAGCTTGATGGAGATGTGCGCAGGTGCCACAGCATATTCATTTCTTCACAGGCTCCAGACAGACGCTCTGCACAGCTTATCTTGATGAGCAGTCAGAGGTATTTGGTGGCCTCAGGCCCAGGTTGGCTAACACTGTCCTGACTGAAGTGCAGTTGTCATCACTTTCGAGTGTGTCCCTGGCTGTGGCATTCAGTTAAGACTTTAGAGCTGTGAAGAGGACAACAGCAGTGACTGTGGGATAGGCTGGCAAGCCAAGGCCTGGGCGTAATCTTGTTTCCATTTGCTGTTTCATGAGTGCTTCCTCTTACTGTGGAACTAAATTGCTATACGCATGCTCTAACCTTTTCTGTCTTAAAAATATTTGTTTGTTTGTTTGTTGATTTATTTGATACATGGTCTTACATAGCTCAGGCTGGCCTTGGACTTGATATGTAGCTGAGAATGATCTTGAACTCTGATCCTCCTGCCTCTACCTCTTGAGTTCTAGGATCCACCATCATACCCTGTTTATGTGGTACTGGGCATCGATCCTAGGGCCTTGCACATGCTAGGCAAGCACTCTACCAACTGAGCTATATCCCTAGCCCTTCTTTTTTCCTTTTAATTCAATTCCAATTTGTTCCTGGGTTCTGCATCTTATTTCAAATTTCCTACTTCTCCAGTGACCATTTATTTATTTATTGTCTTTTTTGAGACAAGATCTTCCTGTAGCCACAGCTGGCCTAGTACTCACTATGGAGACCAGGCTGGCCATGATCTCACAGATTTGCCCACCTCTGCCTCCTGAGTGCTAGGATTAAAGGCATGTGCCACCATGTCTGGTTAGTGACCGTATTTTTAAGGTTTTCTCATTTTTATGTATGCTATTGTTTTATTTTTATTTTTTGTATTTTGGTTAGCCTCCATGTGGGTGCTGGGAACTGAACCCAGCTTCTCTGCAAGAACAGCTTTTACCCACTGAAACATCTTTCCGGTCCTATTTTGGGTTTTTGACAGGGTCTCCCTGTAGCCCTGGCTGATCTGGAACTCACTATGCGGACCAGGCTGGCCTCTAACTTACAGAGATCTGCCTCCCTTGTGCTGGTATTAAAGGCTTGTGCCACCATGGCCTGTCTTATGTCATTGTTTTAAATATTTTTTCACATTATTTTGTGTTGAGGAGGGAGCACATGCATGCCACGGGTGTAGAAGTCAGAGGACAACTTTCAGGACTTGGTTTTCTCCTTCTACCATCTGAGTGCCAGCGATCAAACTCAAATTATCAGGCTCGGCAGCAAGCTCCTTTATCTGCTGAGCCATCTTAGCAGCCTATATTTTGTTGTTTTATAGTTTATATAGTTAAATCTTTTCTTCTAGCTGTTTGGAAACACTGGCCTCCAGTTCTCCTGTGTTTTGTGAGTGTATCTCTTCAGCATATCTTCCTTGTCTATGAGACTTTATTCTCTTTTTTTTGTGTGTGTAACAGTTTGCATGAGATTTGACGAGAGTCCTTTTCTTCCACTCACACTCAAGTAGCTCTGGTAGCTTCATGTCTCTCAAATTCTCTCATCTGTTGTTTCTTCAATATGATAAAAAAACAGAAGCTCCTACCTTCACAGCTGTGCCTTGATTTTTTTTTTTTTTTCTTTGGTCATTTTGAGACAGGGTCTCCCTGTAGCCCTGTCCCGGAACTCACTATGTAGACCAGGCTGGCCTTGAACTCACAGAGATCCGCCTGCCTCTGCCTCCTGAGTGCTGGGATTAAAGGTGTGCGCACCACACCCAGCTATGGTGTTTTTATTTGAACAACCCTCTTTTATTTGCACCTGTTTTTTTTGTGATCCACTCGGGTTCTCCGTTCATCAGTGAGTCTCCTCAATATTAGGGCTCTGACTGGAAACTTCTGGGGACTCCTGGGCAGACAAGTTCTGCAACTGAGATTTCCTATTGAAAAGATGAATCGTGTCTGGGGATGTAGCTTAGTTGGTAGAGTAGCATGCATGAGGCTCTGGGCTTGATCCTCAGCACTGCCTAAGACTGGACTTGGTGGTCCAAACCTGTAATCCCAGCATGGAGAGATGGAGGCAGGAGGATCAGAAATTCAATGTCACCTTCAGCTACATATGGAGTTTGAGACCAGCCTACATTGTATGAGATCCTATCTCAAAAATAAAAATAAAAAGGAAAGGTGAACCCCCACCTGAAAGAATAGAATCAGAAAAGTTGGTGCTGAAACACATCCTGGTCAGATGACTGGATTATAAAGAAAAAAAGCCCTTGAACATCCAGGCAAAGACATAAAGATACTTAGAATGGAAAGAGCAGCATCCAATTAAAAGAAGATACACAGAAGGTGCACAGACTACTGAAGATAGTCAAGGAACTGGGCGTGATGGTACACTCCTTTAATCCCAGCATTTGGAAGGCAGAGGCAGGCAGATCTCTGTGAGTCTGAAGCCAGTTTGGTTGCCACAGTGAGTTCCAGGCCAGCCAGGGCTACATAGTAAGACCCTGTCTCGAAATAATAAATAAATAAGTAAATAATAGATAATAGTAAATAACCCCAAATGCCTTGGGACTAGAGAGATGGTTCAACGATTAAGAGCACTTACTGCTCTTGCCGAGGATCTGAGTTTGGTTCACAGCAATGGGTAGCTCACAACCACATGTAACTCCAGTTCCAAGGGGATTCCATGCCTCTGACCTTTTCA